CATTTTTGTTATGCCAACACAATCAAGCGCAGCTATTCCGCTGCAATTCACTTGATCATGTGGTTGTTGGTTTTGTTGGTTTGTGCTAATAATTCTATTTTTAGAATGCTTAACTTTTAGGTGTGCTCGTCTTTAAGTTATTTGTTTTTTGTTACCTTTTTTAACGCTAATTTTACCCAAAATTGATACTAACCACAATCCCTTGAAAAGAAGTAACATTGTTATGGAATTTTGGAAAATGGGCGTGATGCCGCCCACATATATTTATATAAGTTTATCTCATTATGTCTAACTGAACGTTCTATCGAAGATGTTTGAAATAGACGTAAAACCACCACTGCTTACCATGTAGCGGTAGTTTTCGGAAAGGTGAAAAAACTATATTGAATACTTGCGCCGGGTATTTAATGTTCGGCTCCGCCCGAACTTAGACTTTTTTACTTGTTAAGAAATAATTTAGGTGATTTAGTTAAATAAAAAATGGAAAGGTTAGTAATTTTTAATAGATTTTTTTTAGTACTTGAATTAAAAAATTGGAACATTGTTTTCGATAAAATGTTTTTAAAGGGTCGTAAATCAAACCTGCGCCACTAAATAACTACTCGCTCGCTGCGAAAAACTTGAAACTTGACAAAATTGTAAATTCTTCTCGATTGACGCTGCTCCAGTCGAGAGCAAGGCATATTCAACAAGGTGGAAGTGACAATTCAGTCGAGCTCTCTCATATCTGACTGTAATGTAAACGTAAACAAAGAAATTAACCCTTTGTTATGCATTTACCATACTTGATAGAACTCAACATATTTGAAATGAAAGTTTTTGTAATTATTAAAATATTTAAAATCTCATTAGAATCAGCTTCATTTTATTTATTGAGTTTTCGGTTTAATGTAAATATGGGAATGCATACTTACACAAAATTACACACTAAATGAAACGCACTCATTTATAAAACCGTTTTGACAATTTTCTTGCTTTTATAATCCCAATATTTTTGAGCATTAGTTTCTTTATTGAAATACTTAATTCTAAAGTATATTAGTCATTA